CCTCCCCGAGTTCCATTTTTGCTGGCAGAGGGCTGCAGGCGGCTGTCACTGCTGAAAACAGAGCCTTGATGCCCACTGGCCATGTCCACACCCCTGGCCATGTCTACCCTCCGAGGTCAAACACAACCCTGATGCAGCCCTCAATGAAAATGTCACCCGTGGTACAGAGTCTTTAAGTACTTCATCCTCCTGCATCTTCCGTACAACTCCTGGGAAGATAAAAATGCTGCCACTGCTTTTCTGCAGAGAAATCTATTTATGTCCTGGTTTATTGAGGAAGCTGGTAGCAATCTTGCCCTTTTCACTAGTTGATATGACAGAGAGCCTACCCAAATGCTTTCTCAAGCAGAAGTATAGCCAATTCATTATGAATTCAAGTATTTATTACACCCAATAAGGTTAAACAATTAGAAGTAAAAAAAGTACAAAAAGAAAAAAGACATCCCCCTCACAAATAATGACCTCTGAAAATTTAATTTTGGCCCACTGTTCCTTTATCCTGAATTTATCCTATAATTTCCACATTCAAATCACAGCCCATAAAATAAAATCAAAATTCTAATCCACAAGTAGCTTTACTACTCTACACTTTGCTGTATAATTCCTGATCTTCATCATGGACATATGTGAGTTCTGGCTTCTTTTCTTACCAGGATATTATTCAGTCTCTGGGGAACAGCTCCATAGGACAAACAACAAGCAAAAACAAAATGGAACTCTCCCCTTCCTCTTTTTAAAAACTTCATCAAGGGACAAAACTGCCATTTCAGATTGACTCATTTGCATATGATTTTCCCAGACTATGACTGTCTCTGTCCACTTGGACTGACCATTCAATTCATTAACTCTTATCAGTGTCTGAACCTCTTGGAATGGCACTGCTCCCACTCTTTTGGCCCTGATAATCTGAATGTTAAAATGACGATTCTGCATAGCTGTGACTGAAATAATAAGCAGCAGTTCTGTGACAGCAATGTTTAAAACAGCAGTGTCAATTTCATTTTAAGCTGGAATAAAGGTGACAAGAGTAGAGAGACTGAGATTCAAGGTAAGGCAGCGCAAGTCTTTAAAAATGATTATTTAATTACATAATACCCTAATGTGGCTATTTATAATTAATGGGAGCTGTGAGCAGGAAACTTCTATTGCACAGTTAATAGAGAAACAGCTTCTGCCATTACTGTAGGGCATTTTTTGTATGACCTTTAACTTGCACTAGAAAACAGGCTGCTGATATTATAGTGGATCAGCAACACTGCCAAAAAGCAAGAAACTCACATTTCAGGCAAGGGAAAACCCAAAGGATATAAGCAACATGACATTACATAGCTACAGTGGAGATCAAAATAAGGACTATGTCAAAAATTAGAAAGAAAGAAAGCATTTAAGGTCCCCCCTGCCCCCCCTCCCAATTTATCACTTCTTGCAAGTATGAAACTCAGGGGTCAAAATGAAGCTCTCATTATAACATACGGGTTGCCTTCATATTTTCATAGAGTTGCAAGAGAATTCTTCTAATCCAAGCCCCTGAACAGTACTTGAATTCTCACAGCACCCTGGAAAAATGGCTCTCCGATTTTCTTGAAAATTTCCAGTGATGGAATGTGCATGGTTTCAGTGGCCTTTCCACTGTTTAATTGACAGCCTTCCTAAGTAGAGTAGACCATGAAATCAGGATGTCTAGAACTACTTTTACTGAGATTGACTATTCTGGAGTTTCTTAAAGATTTCAGTCAATGGTTTTGTAATAACACTGCCAGTTCTTTTGGTGGCACAGTTTTGCAAGCTGACTCTGCCCACAGCCAGGAGTTCTATCCTGACTGGCTCAAGGTTGACTCATCCTTCCATCCTTCCAAGGTTGGAAAATGAGGACCCAGATTGTTGGAGGCAATATACTGACATTGTAAACCGTTTATAGAGAGTGCTCTAAAGTATATAGTGTAAGTCTAATTAGCTATTAGCTATTGCTAATACCCTGAGATGTAATCATTGGATATATAACTCTTAGATTCATTCAGAGCAACCTGAATCCATTTTCATTTGGAATTTAACAATGATAAATCTAAGAAGCTTAAGCATGTAAATCTAGCAATAGATCCCACTGAATTTTCATTCCCCTATCTTCATGGCTGTGCATTTATGTGAAAGAAAACAAAATGTGGGATATTGTTGCCCTTGTTTTTGTTTCTTGCTCCCTGATGCTTAAAGTCATTTGAAATAATAATTCAATACCCAAAATGGGGGTAGTTCCTTTCAGTTTTGAATCATCCAATCACTTCTGCTCCAGCAGCTTGAGGTTCTTCTGTGACATGGATAGACAGACAGATATTGCTGGCAGAAGTCTTTTCCTAAAGTTCATTACTTGCTTAGGTATCATAATTCCAAGTTCAAAAGTTTTATGTAACACACAAAGCAAAAGGATTTAGCATTGAATGTGGATGACCTGTAACCAATGCAACAGTGTTTTATAATCAAGGATAAACAATTAGTCCTTAGTGCTCTCTGAGCTTGGTTGTTCGTTGGCAGATGTTTCATTACCTGATTAGGTAATAGCTTCAGTACTAGAAGAAAGCAGGATTTCCTCTCTGTTTATGTGCAATAGCTTGCCCTGTCAATGTTGGAGGGAGTCTACCAAGGAGAAAACACTCCCACCAACACTAATGGGACAAGCTACTGTACATAAACAAGAAGCAAACCCCACACTCACTAGCACTAATGTTACCAAGTCAGGCAATGAAACATCTGCAAGCAAACAATCAAGCTCAGAGAGCATCAAGAACTCTACAGTTCAACCCTGAGCTACATATAGTCTTTTTTTTTAAAAAAAAATTGATAAACAACTAAATCTGCACATGTCTAGTTTTAGACTTTTCAATTTTTACTTTCCTAAAAAGAATGAGCCTGATCTCTCTCTGTTCTAATTGGAATACTTATCTTTTCTAATCTGTGTGTGTGACATAGAATAGAATAGAATAGAATAGAATAGAATAGAATAGAATAGAATAGAATAGAATAGAATAGAATAGAATAGAATTCTTTATTGGCCAAGTGTGATTGGACACACAAGGAATTTGTCTTGGTGCATGTGCTCTCAGTGTACATAAAAGAAAAGATACATTTGTCAAGAATCATAAGGTACAACACTTAATGATAGTCATAGCGTACAAATAAGCAATCAAATCATATTAGGAAACAGTCAATATAAATCATAAGGATACAAGCAACAAGGTTACAGTCATACAGTCCTAAGTGGGAGGGATGGGTGATAGGAACAATGAGAAGATTAATAGTAGTGCAGACTTAGTAAATCGTTTGACAGTGTTGAGGGAATTATTTGTTTAGCAGAGTGATGGTGTTCGGGGAAAAAAACTGTTCTTGTGTCTAATTGTTCTGGTGTGCAGTGCTCTATAGCATAATTTTGAGGGTAGGAGTTGAAACAGTTTATGTCCAGGATGTGATGGGTCTGTAAATATTTTCACAGCTCTTTTTGACTCATGCAGTATACAGGTCCTCCATGGAAGGGCAGGTTACTTCTGTGTCTTCTACTTCTGTGTAATGGCAAAACACTAACTTCCCTTCTAAAGTGGCACTGGTTTAGCTTTTTAATAATTAATTACTTTCCAGCATTTATTATCATTCACATGGCTGATGTGTTTCTCTTCTGTGACCCGCATTTTCTCCCCCTGTTCATGCCTTGTCGATCCTCTCTCGCTGCATCTCAAAAACTAAACTGTGAAAAAAAAGCTTCGTTTCACCGATCTCTGTGAATAAGACACAACGCACAAGGAGGATGATATGGTAATGAATTACTCATAATGCAACAGTGGTCCCTACTGGCTGTGTAGCGAATAACGTTGCTTCTCTCAACTGAGGTCCGTGTGACAAGAGGTTTGTCGGCTCGGGAGCAGAGTCTGGAAATACGAAAGAGCAGCAGGGGGTAGCGCAATCCAAGCACCTCGAGCTAAAATAGTTAAAATCGCGCTTCGTGAAAGGCACCCACTTTTCATTCGTGAGTAGGCGAAGGTTTTCTTGGAGAACCTCAGAAAAGCGTCCCCAAAGTTCCAAGAGGCCATTTGAAGTCCCAACGGTGCTTTTTTCCAAGAGGCAATTGGACTTTCTAGTTTGGATGAGAAGCGAAACGTCTTCAGAGAAAAACTAGAAAGTCCAGTTGCCTCTTGAAAAAAGCACCTTTGGGACAACTATGACCTGGATGACTGACAATCTCCAAAGGCCATTAGACGTACAGCTCCCACCGCAGCCGGATCGGTAGTTTATAGCATTCACTGGAATTTATATATAAACCCCAAGACTCGAGGACAATTCCCAGCAATCGAGATGCAAGCGAGCGTCCGGAGAAGTGAGCGGCGGCGGATGTGTGCGCGCACCAGTAACAAACTTACATTTATTTCCTTCTTTCAATCCCTTGTGACGGTCACCAATAAAGTGGGACTGGTCCAGCTTGCTGAGCCGTTTAGGGACCACCATCCAGGCGCTTTCGAAGCTCGCTTTGGCTCGCGCACCCTTCTTCTGTCCCCTTCTTTCAAAACCTCGGGAGCGCGTTATGTCTCGATCTCTTGAGCGCGCGTGCTGAGCGTAGGTATTGAAACAGCCAGCTCGCTCCGAAGTTAAGTGAATAATGACGGAAATTACTATTTTCAACTGGAAATGACTGTGGGCGCTTTTAAAATATTTGATCTAATAATGGCCCCCCTGGAAACCTCGCATGTTTGAGACTTTCAGGCTCCTAGCAGGGGGGGATTCATTGCTCTCCGTTGCGCAGTTTAACTGCAATCCTAATCTGGTCGAGGAAAAGTGAAAATTCTCTCTCTCTCTCTCTCTCTCTCTCTCTCTCTCTCCCCCCTTTTAAAAAATTCTCTCCTGCCCTGCCTCCCGATCACACGTAACCAGCAGCGCCTTATCACACGAAAAACGGTTTGCCAATTTTTATTTATTTATTTATTTATTTATTTGCGTTGTCTCTTCCTGGGGCTCCTGCTGGAGCGGAGAAGAGCGAATACTCATCCTCGGGCGGCGGAATACCCACGGTGGCACAGGCGAGCGCGGGCGCGGGCAGAAAACAAAAACAGTCTTTCCATTGATTTTGCTTTGAGAACCTTCCAATTCCCCATTTCTACGCGGGCTGGGTGTCCGGTATTGAAACGTCTTGTTAATGACTCGCATTTCCCCGCCCTCCAGTCGCCTAGCGCCAAAACAAAAAGGGAAGGCAGGATGGGGCTTTTTTTCCCGATAGCGAAGCAGACAGCGAGTGGCGACTGATGCGCGGTGCTTTCTCTTGTTTATTGCCCTCCGCTCGCCTTCCCTCTCTCCTTCCCTCCGTATGAGTGAGTGGGAGAGGGAGAAAAGACGAGCGTTAGGACTCGGGGGAAATCTCCCCCCCTTTTTTTCCCCCGCTTCTTCAATCAGCTTGTCCTATTCCTCAGAGCAGGGATAGCGGAGGCTTCAGCCGCGTTCCGGAGAATCCGCTCCAGTCCCAACTCTCCGGGTTTATCAATGCAAGGGATGTTTGCCGGACGCACGGAGAACCGGCTCTTCTGCTGCTATTGCCGCGGGAAGGGCATATGAACTCCCTCAAAGAATGACTAGGATTGCTACGTTTGCCATTCTCTTGCAGCTGTTGCAAAGAAGTCGGGGACAAGTCTTTGCAGGTAAGCGGCTCCTGGATTTTGACGGGAGCGTGGCTGGAGCTTTTGTGTGTGCGCGTGTGTGAGAGCAGTGTTTTGCTTTGAAGTAAACCAACCCTTCTAAGGCGACCGGGATTGCCTTGCGAGGTTTCCTGGACCTTCTGCCTTCCTTCTCTCTCTCTCTCTCTCTCTCTCTTTTTCTCTCTCCCGGATCATGTCGCCATTCTCTCCGTGGTTAAGTTTCTGGAGGTCCTTGGATTGCGTTCCCTGATTGTGGTGTCTTAGGTGTCAGAGAGTTTAATTGCTAAAGAGCAAGATAAAAATCTTACCAGGGGCAGTTTGCTGAAATACTTTCCTTTTTTCTTTTCGCTTTTCCTTAAAGACAGCAAAAGCATCAGTTCAGTGCGATCCTATGCTCCGTTTACCTGGGTTAAGAATAATTTCCATGGAGCCCACCTGGAAACAAAGGTAGCTGAAAGTCTTTTGTTCCACATTAGAATTGGAATGTCCAAATAAGGGTGCTCTCTTTCCATGTGGCTTGGTCTTTCTTTCTTAGGAACCTTATAGATGTGCCATTATTTTTAACCAAGAGAAGCTTAAATGTTGCTTCTTATATGATACTGAAGGCATCTTCTCTTTAGAGTCAAGACACTCAAGTTCTTTTTATAGCAAACAGTTGGTCTCCATCAAACGAAAAGGAGAAGCATCAAGCATTTAAAAAATGTACAACAGGAGACTTTAACTCAAAACTCGCCCAACAGAGTTACACTTTATTGGTCGATTTGCCTCTACAGTGCAACCCTCTCCATGAATCATCTAACCCCTTGGGATCTAGAGACTTGGAAAAACTTGCAGTTTCCAGTTTCAGTTGACAAAAGCTGCCACTTTAATCTAGAAGGAGTTTGTGTTTCTGAAGGCATGAAGTTAAGGTGAAAAAAAAGAGTCTGAAAATCTTTTCGAGTCCGTTTTCCTTTGTTCAATTGGATCCTCTGATAATTTTTGCTCTAATGAACAGCCCATGTAGGCCAACTATATATGGCTCTTACTGTGCTTTATCCTATCAAGGAATGTGTCAATTTGTGTATTTTAATTATTGTCATTTTTATTTGGTGGGATTGCCATGCTTGTAACTCAGGAAATCTATATTTATGTTTACATGTTTGTGTGCCTGAAATTCCTCTATGCAGGTATAGCTGTTTGCCTATTGCGCACTTCCAATGTGCAATGTGTTGGAACTTTCAAGTTTGAACAGTTAAAGGACAGGTTGCTCTCAACATTTCCAGCTAAATAAAAGAGTTAGAATTCAAATGCCTGAACTAACACTTTGTGTTTTAATAGAAGTTTTTTTAATAAAAAAGGAAAATAATATATACATATATATTATATGTAATATATATCTATCTCTATCTCTATCTCTATCTATCTATCTATCTATCTATCTATCTATCTATCTATCTATTTATCATGTATATATAAAACACAAATTGGTATGGATAATATTTCATTTAATGCAGTTGCATCTAGGTAATGCCATTTAGGTTGAGTCTTAGATTTCATTTTAAAAAGGGAGAGGGGGAAAGATCAGTTGGTAATTTCCTATGAAGGGGGAGTCATTTATAGGGTCATACTGGTCTGCTAAATAAGACTATCCCAGGTAAATATGTGTGAGACTACAGATTAAATATCTTCTTCATTGTTAGCAAATAGTTATTCAGGACTAGAACATTTTATGAATGTGTGAATTTGAAGCAAACTGAGTTCCATATTAACTTGCAAGTTTAAAAGTTCCTCATTAATGTGAGGTTTGTGCAGCATGCTAAGCAGTAAGTTATTGAACCATGGTTTGTTGAATAATTCAAAAGCGACTAGTTCATACAACTGGAAAAGTCGTAAGCAGTGGTTTACCAATCACCAGTTGCTGGGTTTACAGAACATAGCAATGCCAAACTTTAAAAATGTGGCTTAGTATAGTATGTGAGAACTCAAAGTACACATTTAGGATGGTTGTATGACACCTAAGCATGCATGAAAACATGGACCATAGTGGATTTTACAGTCTCTGATTGTCAGTTTAAATTCTTGATAGAAGTTTTGTATGATGGTGAACATAGCAGATCTTTACTTCTTACTGTTGCAGTAGAATCAACAGTAAAGTAACTTCTTTCACACTTAATGCATTTCCTCCATGAGTCTGCGGTAGATGTTCTGCAGAAAGTCCAAGTGACAATGGTCTAGTTTGAATAAATGACATGAAAGAAAGAAAAAAGCAAAGCTTTCAGGCTGGAAAAAAATGCCATTCAGGTTTTATTTTTAAACAACAGCATTGTGATTTGAAGCTCAGAATAAATTTCCAGATAATATATGGGCACCCAGGAGAGGACACACAGTATTGCATTTTTAAATTATAAACTAAAAGTAGATTAGGCAGCAACAATTAGCAAGCAGGTTAGGAACTTTTCACTGTCTCTGTTTGTTAATCACCATGTGATTCAGAATGTTAACTGCCACCCTTTTGCTACTCACTTTGCTGCTGAAGAGGTAAAGAATATAGAAATAAACAGGACTTTGTGTCTAGTTTTGTAAATGAGGCTACAGAGAATGTTGCTTCTTTCACCTTGAAGATTATACTTAACTGCTGAAGATTTAATGCCTTGCAACCAACTTGCATGGCTAATGCTCAGATAATTAAAGAAAAGGAGGGAAAGAGCTCTGTACCTCTGATGGATTTTAATATTAAAAATACACAAAAGTCCTTTTGTAACCTGTGCACTTCAACTGTTGTCCATCAGATGGTGCTGCCTTCATAGCTGTTATAATGTCATTATAGCCTGGACTTTGCCATTCATGTGTTTTCAGGACCTTATGTATACAGTCAGATTCCATAAATTTTGCGTAGTATCCACTTGGGAGAAAGAAAAAAGAAATATAAGGGATCCAGAGTATTGGAAAGAAGTAACACAAACACACAGAAGAACTGTTCTTCTTGCACCTAGATTATTTCTTGACAAAACTAATTACAACCCACATATACAAACAATGGATAGGCTTTACATAAAGTTATTTGATTTGGATTTAGTTCAGCATGTGTACTCAATCACCGCAATTTGTACACCAGCTTGGTCTAGTGGTAACTTCTAGCATTTTGCTAGAAACCAGAAGTCTATGAATTCTAGTCCCATCTTAGCTATGAAAGCCAGCTGGTTAAGCAGCCTCCTCTCTCCTGACTAGGTGGCTCAGTGGCTAAGACACTGAACTTGTTGATCAGAAAGGTCGGCAGTTCGGTGGTTCGAATCCTAGTACAGGTCTCCTGTGTGTGTGTGAGCAGGGGGTTGGACTAGATGACCTCCAAGGTCCCTTCCAACTCTGTTACTGCTACTCTCTCTCTCTTTCCCTCCCTCCCTCCCTCTCAGTACAACTCATCCTACAGAGTTGTTGTTGTGGGGAGATTGGAGAAGGAAGGGGGGTTGGTTATGTTTGCTGCCTTGAGTTATTGGTAAAAATAATAAAGGCAGGATACAATGAATAAATAAATTTTACACTGTGGTGCCTTCATGGGAGATGAAAGCAGAATACACCGCATTTGCCATCATCCAAAGAATGTGATGGTGACATTTACTGTAGCTTGGATTCCTGTAGTGTGGCTTTGATACAAGTAATGATTAAAACAACTATGACTTTCCATGAGGTAGGTGTGAACCAGTGAAGCATATGTTGTTTCACAGACGCTTTCAAATATTCTTTCTGCTAACAACCTTTTTCCAAACTAATTTGGCTTCTAAAAGACTTATCTGTAGCACTGATCATTTGTGGCATCAGTTTCATCTGATGCAAGGATAAAGTTTTTTGAACCACATGTTTTATGAGAAGGATTAGTAAAGTACTGTTAAGCAAATTGCCTTCTGCACCATAACTGGACTTCTGCCATTGAGAAAACTTGCAGAAGATCATATGCTGTGTAGCAGACCAAACCAGACCCATCTAACCACTATCCTTTTTACTATACTGATTCGTTCCACAAACTATGTAATACAGTATACTGAATAAATAAAAATTGGCTAGGTTCATTCAGTGCCCTAAGCTGTAAAATGTTTTACAAACCATTGTGTCTGACTTCCCATAGCATACTGTTACACATAGGATGTATTCCTCCAAAGCTTAGAGTTACTAGCTATGGTGTGTATAATACATATCCATAAACATGCATTCCCTCTCCCTCCCTCCCTCCCTCCCTCCCTCCCTCCCTCCCTCCCTCCCTCTCTCTCTCACACACACATGGACACACACATACTTATGCACAAAGAATTTCAATTTGTATTTTTCAGTGGTTATTTGCAATGATATCTATTCTACATTTGCCTTTTAAAACCTCCTAAACCAGGCATCATTACACTAGTTCCTGATAGTACTTTGGTATAAAAATATATTTTTGTTTCTCCTAAATTTATATCCAGTGCCGATTATAATCCTTAGTTCTAATTAACATTAACAATTCCCTGAAATATAGTTTGATTTTTTTTTACTTGCCTGCTTATATAAGGGGTGAAAATAGCTGCTTGTTCAACAATTTGCATATACTTGCATAATAAGCAGACATGTATTTTTAATTGATTGTTATGGTTTACTTGATATATTTCTGAATTGTTTGTGTTTTCTGTGTTATGATTTGTTTATGAACAAAGATCCTGAGGTTTTATGTATGAGCTTTCATTGCAGTAAAAGTAACAAAATGAAATGGAGCAATTCATCTGCTACTTACACTGATGCAGCCTATCCAGTGGGAAGTCCTGAACAAAAATGTTTGAACTGAATTTTCTGAGATAGAATCAGCCTTTGGCAGCTAAAGATGGGGGGTGCTTTTCTGTATACTTGCAGGCTTTTGATTCAGCAAAGCATTTTTGTTGCTGGGATGCATGGAAGTTGAAGTTTAGTCAGTCTTTCTCATGAAAGCTTCCACCATATACACACAAAGATCTATTTTAATATCTGGGGAGATCCTTGGAAGAGTAATACTGAGGGCAAGGATT